GCCTTCAGGATTTTCCCTATCCTACTGTAGAAATTTCTCCTCTGGCTGCTGGTACCTGTCACATCCCCTTCAGGGCCAGCTCAAATGCTACCTGCTCCAGGAAGCCTTCACTGACCACCCCTGGTGAGAATTAAACACATCCACGTGAGGTCCCATAGATCTCCGATATCCCCCCCGCCCCCCAAAGCACTCACCACATGGCATGGATGGTAGTAGTTTACCTGCAGATGTCTCTTGCTAGGCTGCCATTACTGGGGCAGGAGCCTTATCATATTATAATTCTCCAGCACCCAACACAAGGTCTACTGCATGCATAGTGCTATAGATCGAATGTCTGTGTCCCCCCAAATCAATATGTTGATGGCCTTATCCCCAATGTAATGACATTTGGAGGTGAAGCCTTTGGGAATTAATTAGATTAAAATGAAGTCATAAAGATAGGGCCTCCATGATAAGGATTAGTTCACTTCTAAGATGAGGAGACCAGGGCTCTCTGTCCCTATTGGCCATATGAGAATTTAGCTAGGAAGTGGCTGTCTGCAAAGCAGAAAGAGAGATGACAGACGCTCACCAGATACTGAGTCTGCTGGCGCTCTGAGCTTGGACTTTCCAGCCTCCAGAAATGTGAGAAACAAATTTCTGTTGTTTAAACCACCCTATCTAAGGCATTTTTGTTATAGCAGGCTGAACTAAGACACATAGGAAGTGCTCGGTAAATTCAAATGAATGAATGAAAGGGCAAATGTCTTCTTCCGGAAGACTTGCTTCTTATGTCTTATTTCCAACCATTAACCTGCTATCCTGCATCTGCTCGATCTCCAGTACCAGGAACTCTGATTCCTGACGGTAATATTGAGGTTCAAAAAGAAACAGCATGAGAGTTTGGATGGGAAGGGTGTCTGTACCAGGGAATGTCAAATTCTCATCTGCCAAAGATGAGAATACAGGTAACTGGAGCTACTCATTATCCCCCTCCCACCCCTTTCTACTTTAGCCTGAATTATCCCAATATTGACACCAACATCTGCTTCATGCCAATCGCAGAGATTTGTTTTCTTGGTGTCTACTAATAGGAGCAGTTTGCCCTTTGGAAAGCAGGGAAAGAAAACACTACTTGAGTACCTACTCTGTGCCAGCTGCTTTTACATGCATTATGTAATCCCTGCAACCATCCTTCCAGGCTGGTATCATCAGTCCTCCTTCCCCTGCCCCCACTCCTTAGATGGTGAAATGGAAGTTGAGATAAAATAGTTCTGCTGAAGGCCATGCATTAACAAACAGTGGATCTGGCCTCTGGACCCAGGTCACTCTAATTATGGAGCTACACTTATTTTCCTGGACTTTATAAATCTCATTCCAGTGCCCAGCTCAGTCAAACTCCCCAGAACTGCCTTGCCACAGTCTCTTGGATGTTTTGCAGTTTGACTTCATGAAGGAAACTACAAAAATACAAAAAGGGCAGTTGGATCGACACTTTCCTTGGAGCATTCTCCTGGCTTTTTATCTTTTCTTTCTCTTTTTCACTGCGTGTGTCAAGAGTGACCAATAATTTTTCTTTGAGAAACAGAAATCAAATGTAGTAAGCAGAAAGAGGGAGGGGAGAGATGATGGCAAGGCCTCCAGGCTGAGAAGAGCTCCATTCTGCTGACCTTTGGTGTTGCACACACCTGGTTATTCCACAGGTCAGAATTCCCCTCTCTTCTGCCCTTAGTCGCCAATTATAGCTTGGAGCGCCCCTAGTGGAGGTCTGCACAGTGGGTATATTGGAGAAATTGTCTCTGGACAGTATAGGAGGGCCAGTAAATTGAGCCCGTTTGAACAGCTTGCAGGAATGGACTTGTAAGCAAAAATAAGAAAACAAGCCACTCTGATCGAAAATATCCTTTTGCCTTGGAAGGGGAAGAAAAGGAATGTAACATTATTTTCCTAATACCCAACTGAGCCATATGAACACAAGATGAATCTCTCAAGCTTAGGTAAGGTGGCCCCTGGCAGGAACGGGCAAAAGTCTACGGAAAATAATGCCAATCCGTAATGAAAATAGTCTTTAAGTGAATCTAACAACAACACACGTTAGAGACTGGGGAAGCAGCAAATCTGAGTCTTATTGAGCAATACTGAATTTGCCTTATTAATTCAAGAGAAAAAGAAAAGAAATTATACTTAGACTCTGCAGTCTTAGCACGCAGCTACAATTATTCCCCATGTGCATATCTTAGACAATAAGGAGTCTCTTCAAAAACAAGTTATACTTTATACTTATTCATGCCTTACAGCGAAATGGCCCAGAGAACCACGTGACCTGCATAAGAATGTAGCAACAAGTCCCTTTTGAGTATTTACAAATCCCCTCACTCCACCACAAACAGAAGAACTAGTTTGCAACAATGAGTTAGGTGAATGGTTCTCCATCTGAGTGGATGTTGGGCTTTATATTAAAAACAGAACTTATCGTGGAAGGTCAATTGTCTCCAAATGCACCACCAGACTCGGCAGTGCTCATTGGCCAATCTCACTCCTTCCTTATGACTCAGAATCAGAACCACACAGTTATTAATGAGCTTTCTGAAGTAGCACATCACTTGACTTTAATTTGGTGGTGACCTGAAGTTAATTTAAAAAATATGCTGGCTATCCATAGTGTTGAGCAGTTGGAAAAATAGTATGAAATGTCTTAAAAATTAAACACACGCAAGTATCCCCCTGCTTTTACAATGTGTTTGAAGCCAGTGAAGGAAACAGAATAGGAAATCCTTGTCTTAGATGACAATTCAATACGTGCCATTAAGACAATTTTTTTTTTTTTTCCCTGCAAGGTGGTGTATTGGAGAGTGGAGTCCTCAAAGGTAGAGCTGCTTTAGAAAATCCAGTAAGCTGCCGTGTAGCTTCAGGCTCTTTTTGTATGTGTGTTAGTCACAACACAGATTCAAAAGGGGGTGGGGGAGGGAGAGCTGGACTCAGTTCAAGGCCACCAAGCCATTGTTAGAAAGAGACAGCTAATTAAGAAAGGCCATGCTGTGGTGGAAACGATGTGTTTAAACCAAATCTCTTTCCCTATCTTTCCCAGAGAAATTGTCCAGACCTGGTGTAAACTGTGGATATCATGGCCTCATAAAAAAAAGGGGAGGGGGTTCTTCAATGATATGCTTTGTTAAACAAAAGGTGATGAATAATTTCCTTTGCTCTGCACTCCGGGCTCTACATTTAAACAGACGGGGAGATGGGGGATAAAATGCCTGATTTATGCTGAGGGGGGCACTCCAGGCCACCGGGAAAGGTTGAAGGGAAAGGAACCCAGAGCCCGGGCCCATGGAGCGGAGAGCTGTCCAGGGCCTTTGGTGCTGAAAGCAGGTGTGTGCGCGCTAGGGGTCCAGAACTGCCCGGGAAAGAACACCGCCAGTCCCCCAACTCTGAGTCAAGACGGTGCAAATGACAGAGGCGGTGCCCCAGATGAGCACAGTGCCCGCTCTCCCTCTGTCTTCAGCCTGGGCAGACCCTGCAGCTGCCTGCTTTTTTACACGTGAGGAGCGCATTTCTGGGAACTGGAGTTAGACCTTGCAAGAAGGCCGGGTCCGGTGGCCAACTAACGCTCCCATTGACTTTCGGGTCTCCAAGGTGCCTGAGAAAAGCCCTGAAGCTCTGAGGGTTAGCTTTGGGTGAGTTAGGCGTTGCACCCCTCTCTATCTGGCCCTCTCCCCGACCCATAACTTTTCCTGGGGTACCTTACCGGGGTGGACAGAGGGTATGGCTCCAGGTCTGAGAAGGAGGAGCTGTCATTCTCTGCTAAACTTGGGCCCCTCTTCTCATTCAGCAAACACGTGGTAGGTGAAACTAACACCCCCCACCCCCATTCCTAACAGTGATCAGAGATGCTAGGCTGTCGGGAAGAGAGTAGAGGGGAGTCCGTTCAGGTTCCCAACTGCTAACTAATATCTCTTCTCCCTCTCCTACCAAGTTCTCAGAGCCCTCAACCCCCTCCACCGGCCTCTGGCGAAAGCCACACCCAAGTCCGGTATCCTGACGCTTGGCTGAGATCAATCCAGGAACACAGCCCCTCGGGGCAGCCTGAACCAAAGGAGTCAAGGGTTTCTGAGGTGTCGTGGGGGAGCGGCAAATGCACTGTTTGAGTCTAGTCCTCAGTTGCAGGGTGGGTCAGCTGCTCACCCCCCTTCCTGTCCTCTCCCCGAGAGGAAGAGAATTATCTGGCACCCAGCCCCGGGTGCGGTTGCAGAGAAGCTCCGGGAATTTGGGGTTTGGAGGCGACCCCACTCCAAGGAGATCCTCTTTGGCTGCAAAGGAGAATCAGCCTCACAGCCGGGGAAGACCGAAAGGGAGCCCGCAGCCGAAGCAGGGAAGCGCCCGAGTCCTTCAACACATCCCCACCTCCACACTTCCATCAGCCCGGGCCAAGGGGACGCGCGGTTCCTAGCCCCGAATTTGGGCAGCCACCACCGCTCCCCATCCCGGCGGGTGGTGCCTGAGTCGCCTTGGTCAGCCCCGACCCCTGGCCGCCCCGCTCTCCCGGCAACTTTGCCCCCTGCCCGCCCCGCCCCTCGGGGCGCTTACCTCTCTCCAGCGCTGCCGCCGGGCTCCCCAGGAGCAGAGCGAGGAACAGCGAGATCCCGCCGAGTCCCGCGGCTGGCGGCCGGGCCGCGGGCATCGTGGCTGCAGGGGGCGCGGAGCCGCGGGCTGCGGGGCGGGCGGACGGCGCGGGAGCCGGGAAAGGAAGGCAGCGGTGAGCTAGGAAGGGGAGGCGGGAGCGAGGGAGGGGGCCGCGGGCCGGGGCAGCTTCCGGAGCCCCCCGAGCGGACGCGCGCTCAGCCCCGCGGTCGCTCTGGCCGAGCTGCGCCGGGCGCGGGCGGGCGAGTGAGGAGGAGCCGGCGAGCGAGCGAACGAGCGTGGAGCGAGCGGGAGGAGGGAGGGGGCTGGGGCCGAGTCTGTGCCGAGCGAGTGCAGGGAGGGAGGGGGCGGGCGAGCGGGCAGCAGGCTGGAGGGGCCGCGGCGGCGCCGGGGGTGCCAGCCGCCTCCTCTGGCCGCCGGCCCGTCGGCCCTGCAAAGTTTAAAGCCAATTCCCTTTGCGTCCTGGGAGCCGAGCGTTTTCTCTCTCTGCTGACACTCCCAGCAGCCCTGCCTGGCCAGGCCAGGCTGGAGAGCACCCGGACCATTTTCCAGACGGTGAGATGGAGGCCTGGAAACCGAGCTTATGAGCAGCCCGGAGCTTTCCATTGCCTGCTCAGCCTTCCAGATACATCCCAGTTCCAGTTCTCTCCAGGCCCCTCTGGGATCCAGCCAGCCTGCTTCCCCGCCAGGGCCCCGCTGCTTCCAAAGTGAGTCCCCATAACCTAGAAAGTCTGTAACTCTGTGGATCCGGTGAGATCTGTGAATCTACCAGAACACTACACATAGCCACAAAATTGTGGCTGCAACCTAACAGGAGGGGTCTGGACTCCTCTGAAGCCCAATCACGAACTCTAAATTAAGATCCATCTCTACTTTTTAATCTGAGCCCGGTCTCCCATAACCCCACTGCCGGCAGGCCACTAGAGCTGAGAGGCTTCCTCTCAGGTCAGCCCCTTACCTCTTCCTGTACCTGCTTCCCCAGCTGAGCAGGACTGCAAGGCCCACCTCGGCCGCACTCTTGCCCAGGCCTGATTCTCAAGCAACGTGTCTTTTCTCCACAAACAGAGATAGTGAGGGACAATCAATGAGGGAGACAAGCAGATACTTGGGGACAGACGTTGGCGGAGAGCTAGGTGGGGACAAGCTTCTGCACAGTCCTGGAGACTGACTGTCCCTCCCCGCCTAGCCTTGGCAGACCGGTCAGGCTTTGCAGGCCTCTCACCCAATTTAGAAGCTGTCCTCCTCCCACTACCCTACCTTGCCATACTATCTACACACTGCAGCCTGAACAGGCAGAGAGAGCAGATGGAGAGAAGGTTGCAGGCAGCAACAGGGGGAGGAATATGTCTTTAGCAGCGTGGTGGAGCCGGGAGTCCCTAGAAAGAATGGGTGGGGGAGGTGAACACTGGATGGAGGAGGAAAGGCGGGGGCACTCTGGCCCAGGGTTTCAGAAGACTCTCCACACCCAGAGCTTCCCCATTTACTCTTTGAAACAATGCTCTTTTACAGGCCACTCACTATAGGCCCAGACCTGCCTCAGGCTTTGGGGGACAGAGAATCCCCCATAAAATCCTATCCTTGGCTGCAAGAGGTTTCCATTCCTGACAGTAAACCTAACTGGTTTTTATAAAGGTGGCTGAGGCAGGGGTGCAGGAGGGCTGATTTCTCCTTTGGAGAAGATGAAGCACTCTATGCTTTACTGTATGAAGCTGCCAGCTCTCTGTGGAGTGACCTTGCCTGTTTGTTTGTGGCTGTACACTCAGGCTCTGTATAGTATAGTGCTAGCATGCAGTGGATGCTCAGTGAGACTTGTTCAATGGAAGCATAAAGAAGCAAGGAAGATGGAGGAAGAGGTGAAAGGGAAGAAAGTGAGCGAGAGAAAAAAAAAGAGATAGGTTAGCTCCATACTTGGAGGCAAGGAAACTATTTTTAATTCTTAGGTTCAGGGGTACGTGTGCAGGTTTGTTATGTGTGCAAACTTGTGTCATGGGAGTTTGTTGTACAGATGATTTCATCACCTAGGTATTAAGCCTAGTACTCAATAGTTATTTTTTTCTGATCCTCTCCCTCCTCCTGCCGTCCACCCTCTAGTAGGCCCCTATGTGTATTGTTCCCCTCTATGTGTCTGTGTGCTCTCATCATTTAACTCCCATCTATAAGTGAGAACTTGTGATATTTGGTTTTCTGTTCCTGCATTAGTGTGCTGAGGATAATGGTCTTCAGTTCCATTCATGTTTTTGCAAAGAACGTGCTCTCATTCTTTTTTATGGCTGCATAGTATTCCATGGTGTATATGTACCATATGTATATTCTCATTCATTGATGAGCATTTAGGTTGATTCCACGTCTCTGCTCTTGTGAATAATGCTGCAATGAACATACGTGTGCATGTGTCTTTATAATGGAATAATTTATATTCCTTTGGGTATATACCCAGTAATGTCAGACAACCTACAGAATGGGAGAAGATTTTTGCAAACTATGCATCTGCAAAGGTCTAATATCCAGCATCTATAAGGAACTTAAACAAATTTACAAGAAAATAAAACCAAACAACCCAACTGAAAAGGAAACTATTGTATAAAGAATCCACTGTTTGCCAGGTGCTGTCCCACACTGAGCACGGTCTCTCATTTCAATTTCATAATCATCCTGATAATGAGGTGTGGTTATTGCCATCTGACAGATAAGTATCTGATTTTTTGTGGAGGGTCCCAACCCAGCCAAGGTCACTCAGTCAGGCAGCAGTGGGATTTGGCAGATTCAAGGCCAGCCCCGATTACAGAGCCAGAACTTTCACAGGCTACTTCCCAGAAATTTGGTGGCTGCCTCTGTACTATGATTTGGTTGCTACCTCCTGAAGTTTCAACCCCTCCTCACTACCAGAAGGGCCACAATCACTAAAAGTCCATCACTGAGGTTACTCACTTTGGTAAGTACATTGAACTTCTAGAGCATTGCTTGCATGCAGGTGTCTTATGTAGAAGAAATGACACTGTAAACCATGAACCCACGGAACATATGGGCAGAGATTTACCCATTCCATTTGCTGGCTGAAACAAGGCACAGAGAAAAGTCTTCAGAAAATGGGACACAGACCCGATTATCTGAGATTGTGATGTTGGGAAGGTGAAGTGATTATTTAGGAGCAATATCAAGACTATTTTTGGAAGAAGAAATAGCATAATAGAAATAGAATTCTGAAAGGGACTAGAACAGTTTGCAGATGAAAATCTGCAATCACAATTTTGATAGCCATTTTACAGATGAGAAAACTGAGGTCCAGGGAGGCAAAGTAACTTGCTCGATATCATACACTTGGTTTACATTTTACCTTTTACTCTTTCCATGGCAGTGACGTTTGTGGTCTAACAGGGCACTTCCTGCCTAGATTCTAGTGTCAGGGTGAGCTTCCTGCTACCCAAAGCTGCTGGGGAGATAATTTTAGTTTCTCTGCTGATTAGATGATGTGTGCCTACAATTCTATTCACCTTATATTTTGTCATGTGATAAACAGGGCATCAGCTCTTATGTGGTTAAAATTAGTACAATAGTGACAAAGGGTTATATCCTAGCCTCACCTCTTCCTTATAGGATGACAAGGGCAAGTTACTTAACCTCTCTGAGCTTTATTTTCCTCTTCTGAGAAGTAGGGATAAAAATAACACTTATCACATGGAGTGATCAACATAAATGGATAATAATATCCTCGTGGATGAGGGGGTATTATGGCACTTGTTTCCTAGGGTTATAGAGAAGATCCCATGAACTGATGGACTAAAGACTAGTGTTGTGTGATATTAAGTGAGTCACCAGTCTCTCTGGGACTCTGTTTCCCTATTCATCTACCCACCTATCTACACACCCACCTATTTATCCCTATATTCATTAGCCCATGCATCCATCCAACAATTCATCTATCCCTCTACCTACCCTTCCTTCTTTCCTCCCTTTCTTTTCTTCTTTCCTTCCTCCCTTCCATTCATCCATTCATCCACCCGTCCATTCACTCAACCACCCACCCACTCACCCATCTGTCCATCTATCTACAAATACTGTTTGAGCATTTACTATTTATTGAATGGCTACCATGTGGCAAACAGTGCTGAGTGCTGTGGATGTAACAGACTCTGTCTCTGGCTCTCCAGGGCTGACAGTCTAGTGAAGTCTGGCAACACAAGGGCCCAGATCGCTTCCAAAATTAATGCTGTATGCCAGGGGAGGCAGTTTAGCAGAGTGGTTAAAAGCCTGGGCCTTCAAACCCAACCAGCCTCAATTTGAATGGTTGATCTGCTACTAACTAACAATGCTATGATTTTGAACAACTGAATTAAACTTCCAGTAATGATTTCAACAAAAGGCTATCATTTAGCAATCAATGACACAATCATTATAAAGCACTTAGGATAGTGCCTATGTCAGGCACTGTCCTGGGCACTGACGATACAGCAGTGAACAAGACAGAGTTCTTGCTCTCTGGAGCCTATTTTGTACAGATGAGAAATAGACCATAAAGTCATTAATAAATGGGAATTTGAGAAAGCTCTAATTTGATGAGGAAGATAAAGCAAGGTGATTTGAGAGTAAAAGAGGCAAGTTCTTTTTGAATGATCAGGGATGGGTTCCTAGAATAGGAGACATTCAAGTAGAGAAAGGAACAATGAGACAGACACCAAGCGCAGATTGCAGCACATTCCTGGTGGAAAACACAGCCAGTGCAAGGTCCTGAGGCTAAAACAGGGTCATTGCAATTAATGGAAGTCATTGTCATCGTGTGTGTGATCCCATGTCTTTGCCTACTCAGATCATGATTAATCAGGGACGTGATTTTGAGGTCATCAGACAGCCTGTGCTCAGTGACTACTGCCTCCATCAATGTACATTTATTCACACCCCCGCCCTGCCAAACCTTGCAGCATGTATCTCCCTTAGGAACATCTGGTTGATGGGAAGATTTTAATCACTGAGAGAAAAAAAGAGAAAAATATTTTGTCTTAGGGTAAAAATGAAATACAAAAAAAAAAAGACATCCTAAAAGATAAGAAGAAAAAAAAGATAAGAAAAAAATTAAAAGAAAAAAAAAGTCCCAGCAATAGTATGTCTCAGGAGACAAACCCACCGTGGATCTTTCAAGGGAAGGCAGAGGATCCAACTAGTGTCTCCATGATCTATTTTCAATTTGGTCCTTGTAACTTGCAGATGGGCCTGTGCAGCGTCATTCAGGAAGCCCGTGGTACTCACATCACTTTGGCCAGATGCTAACAAGAAAATGATCCACTGTGACGCAGCTGACCCCATCCAGTGCATCCACATTACCTGGAAAGAAGCAATTATGCCCCTTTGGTTTCCTTGGAAATGCTCGGTCTGTCTGTACCATCCTCCCTGGCTCTTGAGAAATACCCATGCACAGTGGAGCTTTGACAGGGAAGCAGTGCGTTTACTTTCAAACTGAAAGTTTACAGAATACAAAGTGAGCCTATAAGATGGATGGCCATTCTCCAGAGGCTTGTTGGCCAGACAGGAAGGAAAACCAGTGCACCATCAGGAATGTGGAGGAGACTGAAAGAGAGGGACAAACATATTGGATTGCATCGGGCCCCCACAGTCAAGTTCCTGCAAACCCAGCTGGGATATTTTCCTAAGGGTTATGGTCTTGGGCCTCAAAGGTGAGAAGAAAAATCAATTAAAGATACTGTGTATATTTATACACTCTGTTGGCATTAGAAACTGTAACACATACATTTTTCAGTCCATAAAGAACAGGCTGCATCAGCACAGCGATACACATGTATGGGTTTTTCTAAGACTTTTGTGTTTGGGGACCCCACAACTCCATGTGCCCTTTGGAATCAGCAGGTTTATTTGGAGTCAGACATATCAGAGCTCTCTCCTATGTGAGTAACTTTTAAAAGTCGATTTACTTGTCGTTTAAGGTGAAGAATATTAGTAACTAGTTCCTAGGGTTGTTATGGGAGTAAAAGAGGGGATGCATGTTCAGTGCTGAACTGATTACCCAGCCTGTAGTAGGTGCTCAATAAACAGGAGCAACGATTAAGGATTATATAAATTGTACATGAAAAATGGAACCCAAATACTAGAAAAATCTCTTCTCTCATAGGGTTTATTAGGTGTCTTCATGGATGTCTAGACCCAGAGGAAAGTCCAGCTGGGGTTAAGGCTGCAGAATAAGTAAAACTTCCAAACCCATCAGGGGCTTGGTCAATCTGACCCATTTTTTTTGTGTGAGCCTCCTCACTCAAAATTAACTGAGGCAGCAGTGTTCTGTTCAATTACAGGAACATTCTCCAGCCCTTCGACTTCCTCTCAAATCTCACCCCTCTCTTAGTATGGAATATTGAAAAGGCCAGACTGGGTCAGGTCCCTACTGATCAATAGCCTGTCCTTTCTCTCAGCTCCCCAGTCAAAGCCCAGCCTCTGTGCCAGGGAGGACACAAGAGGACAGAGACAGCCTCTGTGTCAGGAGGAGGGAAGAAGGACTAATGTCTGCGGACCCTCCGAGGCTCACAGGGAGAAGCCACACACTCACAGCACCAGGTCTGTGGTTTTTCATGACCCCACACTGTCCCCTAGAAGGAAGTACCACCCAGCAGAAACAGAAGCCAAGGAATTTCCCCACAGAGATCATGGCATGGGCTTGAGCTCAATGGACAGTGGGCGGAAATTGGAAAGCCCAGAGCCTCCACCACTAAGTCCTGTGTGACTTCTGTAAGTCCCTTGCCCACTCTGATTCTTAATTCACCCATATGAAAAATTAGGAAAAATGATCTCTCAGTTCTGAAATTCAATAATTCTATGATGTCAGCAACTGGACCCAAGAGATGATGAGTTCTACTATGGTTGTCTTGATGAAAGTAAAAGCTGACTTTTTTTAAGCAGCTGCTTAGAGTTTACCACTTGATAGTTCATGTAATCCTTACAACCACTCTAGAAGGTTAGTATTATTATAACCCAAACTCCTACCTTATCCTATAGGACCCATCTGATCTGGTCTCTCCTCCCTATTTGGCCTTATCTCGTACCTCCTTTTATAAAGCCCCAGCTGCAAGGATTCTAATCTTAGATCTTTCCAGGACTTTTCTCTTGCTGCGCCCCTGCCTGGAAGGCCTTTCCTTCTGATATATAAGCAGCTGGCTCTTTCTCCTCTTTCTGTGGCTGGCTAGACTGGCATCTCATCAGAGAGAACAACCTTGGCTTTAAATCTTTCTTAGCCTATATCACTATCTACAATGATCTCTCTTATTTATGTGTTTGCAGGTATATTATCTCTGTTCTCCCACTTGACTTTAAGCTCAATGAATGCCAGGACCCTTAAAACAAAGCACATAGCAAGTTTTCAGTGAAGTCTTGTTAATTTTCAAATGGAGGAATAAATGAACGACTATATTTCCACTTCGCAGATGAGTAAACAGAGGCTTGGAGGGGTGATGAAATTTGCCAACAGTCACCGATCAGTAAGTATGACAGAAGTAGGACTGGAACCCAGGGCTGTCTGACCTCTGGCTTGAGTCTATAACCTTTTGGCCATACTGCCTTTCAGTTCCAGGAACAGGTGATGCTTCCTGGCAGTGAGATTCTAAACCAGCGGGAGTTCCCAGCCAGAGACATGATCTAAGTGCCAATGGCTGAATGTCTGTGAGCATTTGAAGTCATTGTAAGAACAGGCAACGTTAGCGGCACCATTAAAGCCTGCTGTTCCTCCAGCCCATCACTGCCATCCCCACCTATTAAAATAATGGTATGAAAAATAAACAGCCTTTATGGACAATTTTATACAGTGCACGCATTGTTTGTTTCTCTTACTGTTTCCATGGCAGTGACGTTTGTTCTCAGGATAACTTCAGGTTGCTGCATGATGGAAGGGAATGGAATAAAATTACTTGAGAGGAAATTGCCAAGCACAGACTTTTTCTTCTTCAGATGCCCCACACCCCAGCACTTAACAGCAGCCACACCCTGAAGTCTTAAGCACAGGATAAAGGCTTCCCCTTAACCTACAGCCTTCCATGGCTCCCCAGTTCCCATAATATGAACCCCATGGATCTAAGCCTGGCTGTAAGACCTTTGCTACCTGGCTTCCTCTCCTACCCTTTCTCTCTTTGCTATATAGCCCTGCCTATAGGCAATTTCCCTCCTCATTTTGTCCCTTCTCCCTAGATTTTTTTCACCAACCCACGTTTGTTCATGCTGTTCAGGGTACCTGGGCTATCCACCTTCCCCCAACCTCTCTACCAGAGAAAACTGCTATTCATTTTTCCACGTTGTGCTTTAGGTGTGACCCTGCACCCGCTTCTTTCCCACGCATTCCTGCATTTGGGTGATGTTTCTTTCCTCACCGCTTCTGTGGCTTTCTCAAGCATTGCGTTTATTCACTGTATGGCCATCCAGACTTCAAGCTGCTTGAGGGCAGGAACAGTGCTTATTCAGTGTCTAACAATGCTCCAGGAACATAGTAGATGCTTAACAAATGCTTGTGGAACCAAATTTGAGAAACAATAATAATCTGGTGGTCTGTGAGTCTGCCCAAGGAAATGGTGTCTGGGTATATCTCCTTCTTTAGGAATAAATATGGAAGATTAAATCAAAGCCCTAGACAGTGCTTCTCAACTTTGGCTGCACTTTGGAATCATCCATGGAGCTTTTAGAAATTCGGATGTCTAGGTTGCACCCTGAGTTAATCATGTGAGATTCTCTGGGTGAGGGCCCAGGGATCTGTATTTTTTTAAAGTCCCTGAGGTGATTCCAGTGTTCAGCTGGGACTAAGAGCCACTGTGCAGAAAGTTCCTGTTCAGAACCCTAACCAGGGCTTTGCATGAAGGTTGCAGAGACCAGGGGTCTCCTCAGGGGCTGAGTTCACCACAGAGTCCAAGAACCCAGAGCCAGGACAGAGCTGATCCCCAAACCTGGTTAGAGTGATAACAACAGCATAGAACGTTGACTAAGCACTGCTTATGTGCTTGGCACATGCCAGCGTGCCTTCCGTAAACCACATCATGATCCTCAATTTAACCTGTAAGTTGGTATTATTCAGTTGAGAATGAAAGAGTGGTAGATTGCCCAAGTTCACCTGTCCAGGCAATGGCAGAGACGGAGTTTGAACCCAGGTGAACCCAGGTTCATCTATATCCCAAATCCATGCCCATTTCTTGAACGTAGGCAGGCTAGGGCAGCAGGGAGGAGCTGCAGATGTTAGAGGAGCTATACCCTAGCCACCTGGGTCAAAGCCACTAACCCACTGCAGAGGTCCCACAGTTCTACCTGCTTCTCTCCAGCGAGGGTTATACACTCCCCTCCCTTCTAGTGGACTGCTTTCCTGTTCTCTCTCCCTCCCTCCTTCCCTCTACTTCCTCTCCTCTTCTCCCTCCATCTCCCCCTTTCTTTCTCCCTCTATCCCTCTCTTTCTCTTTTCTCTCTTTTCTTATCTCTTTCTACTTTCTCTCTCCCTCTTTGCTCTCTCTCCCTCTTTCCATCTCTCCTCTTCTCTTTCCTCCCTCTCTCTTCCACTATCTCTTACTTCCCTTCCTCCCTCTTTCCTCTCTCTTCCCCTCTTTCTCTTTTCTCTCTCCCTCTGTCTGTCTCTCACCTCTCTCTCCCTTTATCTCTCTCTCTCCTCTCTCCCCCTCTTTCTCTTCTCTCTCCACCATCTCTCTTTTCTCTATCTCTCTCTTCCTCCTCTTTCTCCTTTCTCTCCCTCTCTCTTCTCCCCTCCTTCCTCTTTCTCTCTCTCACTTTCCTCTCCCTCTCCTCCCTCCCTTTCCTCTTTCTCTTCCTCTCCCCACTTTTCCCTTTCCCTCTCTGTCTCTCCCCACCTCTCCCCATCTCTGTTGGATGCCCCTAATTAGAGCAGTCTGGGTCAGGGTCTGGTGATCTGAAGGTCGAAAAACCTCTGAGGCCTCAGCCTTAGCAGTTCCCAGGACCTGAGGGAGAAGGGGCTCTGCCTGGGGCCTCTGGGATGCAACAGCCTCAGGGTGACAGCTCAGGATTGGAGGGTGAGTGCTGATGCTCCCCACACACCCAGAACTGACTTGGCATCTGAATGGCGGCTCCTTCGAGCTCGTTTTCCAGATGATGTTTATTGCGTACTTATTAAGTGTCAGATCCTGTTCCTACAACAACCCTATAAGCCGAATCACCTGCAAAATGGAATTTGGAGACATGAACAAGAGAACACACAACTCTATTATCCAGGTTTTGCTCAAATCTCTGCAAAGTCTTCCCTGAACAAGGAGTTTAAAATTGCAATCCCTCTTCATCTGCCCCTGGTTCCTATTCTATGGTCTCCCCGTCCTCCTGCCCTGTTTTATTTGCCCATTGCACATCTCAGTGTGCAATCATACTGTTACTTATTTGTGCAGTTTATGTCTGCTTCTTCCAACTAGAATGTCAGTTGCATGAGGGTGGTGTTTTTTTAAAAAAATCTGTTTCATTTGTTGTTTTATTCTTAGTACCTAGAAGTGCATTTGCTTATAGTTGGCAATCACAGTATGTTTGTTGAGTGAATACATAAAACTACATCTTCCTTATCTACTGAGTTATGTTTACTTCACTTATGATTATGTTTACATCAGACATAAAATACATTCCAAGGTTAGAATAACGAGACAACAGAGTGCAGCAAGACACCAGCGTATGACAGGGGCTTTGTTGATATGGGATGACATTCATGACTACACATTTCTTAGGGTTCTTTGGTGGAAAGGACCTGATGCTGACCACATTCAACCAGAAAAGGATGGGAGGGCTTTGTTAGAAGGACAGGAGCATCTCACAGACCAAAGCCAGTTGAAAAAGTAGGCCCGGGAGAGCACCAAAGCAGTTCTGAGGAAGCAGGGACCCTCCCCACTTCTTCAAAGTGGTTGCATTTTGGCATGAATCACTACTGAGGTTGAGTCATGTTCCTCCTTTTGGGAAAATGAGGATGGTGCCTTTTGACTGAAAAGCCCACCAAGCTTGCATCTGGTGAGTGGTTTTCAAAACAAAATTAAGGTACTGGTATCTAAATAAAGGTGAGTGTGGATTCTGGTCAGGGAAAACAATAGATGCCCATGGCATTTCACATGTTAATTCCACTGGGCACCCCAATATGTGCAGGGGGCTTTGTGACTATAAAGGAGCCAGTTGACGCCCCTGATGTTTCAGGCTGTCCACGTTCCTTCCTCTCAGCCATTTAAGGCATCTGAACTGTAAGGGAACTGCTTCAGATTGCATAAAAGGGCATGAGTGTCCTGGCAGATCTCTGGACTCAGGAGTTCCAGGTTCCCTCTACTCTACCCAAAATCTGCTCTGGAAGTAAGTCCATCAGCCCCTGAAAGGGCAGTATCCACCAACCCACTAATGCATTCAGAGCAAGAACCACAAGCAGATAAATTGACTTGATTGATTAATCATTGTTTTAATCAGTACAGGTTAGGGTATGCCGCTGTAACAAACTTCAAAACTTGAGTTGCTTAATGCAACAATGGTTTATTTTTCACTCACAAAAAGTCCTGTGGGGTTTCAGCTGCTTTCTGAGACAACTGTCTTCCCTGCAGTGACTTGATCTAAGTCACTCTCATTCTGCAGTTTTGTTATCTCTAGTGGTGGCTTTCTGACCACTGCTCTTTCCCTCTCTCCAAATGGAAATGCCATGTTTGTGTTCATAATCTATTGGGTAGAAGTAGTCACACGGCCTCATTCTAGCCACAAAGAAAGCTGAGAAATGCAGGGGAGCAGGTGGAATGTGTGATGAGCTCTACAATCCCTTCTATGATGACAGAAACACTCCCCAGCAACTAAAGCCGTGACAATGGAACGCTGGCCTTGTAGGAGGCAGTACTGAAAAGCCAACAGGATGCCTCTTAGCGAGGTCTGGTGATTAGAAACTCAGAGACTACTTTATATTCTGTACTTGCCTGAGATATACCACCAACTAAGCAGTCTGTTGAGGATACAGGACTGAATATGGGAGATGGGAAGTCAACATTGGTTAAATGACTTGCTCCATGCCAGGCATAATCAACATTCCTCATTACATCTTCAACATCCTCTTGAAAGCTGTGCTCATTTTACAAATGAGAAAACAGATTGAGAGAAATATAATGACTTGTATGAGGTCACATAGCTTCTGAGTGGCACGGAGTGGAAGGCTACCTGAATTCAAAGTCATGTTTTCACTATGCCATGAAGCTCATTAGAGCCATGACAAGCACTGAAAGAGTTTTCTCTTTATTAAGTGAAAATAATAATGATGATGTAAATAGTGATGAAGATGATGGTGGTGGTGTGGATGATGGTGGTGATGATGATGAAGATGACTGCAACTCCTAATTATCAATATTTTACTACAAGCTGAAAAAACTGTAATCTCATTAATCCTTCCAAACACCCTATTGGGTAGGTTCTATCATTATCCCCATTTCACAGAGGAAGAAACCGAGGCTCAGCTAGACAAAACAACACTTTTTCAATATCACCTACGTAGTAAATAGCAGAGTTCAGACTTGAACTCAAAGTTGTCTGATTTCAAAGTCACTCCACCATACTGAAAAGAGAACAATTCAATTGATTGTTTCATCCACATGCCTCCAATCACCCTGTTCAGCTAATCATTTTTCTTTTAACCAACCACTTCTTATTTTGGCATTTCTTAGATGTCTCTATGACTTGCATCTTTTTTTAAACCAATTTTAAATTCCTCTGAAAAAGGAATGACAACTTGCCCCACCAAAGATCCGGGAAAGAAACATGAAAGCCCTGATTATGTTTCACGGAAAAATATACATTCCCACCTCACT